AAGGAGGAAAGACGAACCACGAACGAGTGAAGCTGCTGCCAAGGAACAGAACTATATAGAAGAGTGGGGGATGAACTATGAATTAGGGGAGAGGAAAGGAAGTAGGGAAAGGAAGGTAAGACAGACCGAACTCAAGTGTAAGCGAAACCATGGAGCCGGGATTTGATGGATTAAATGTACGGATTGGCGCCAAGCGTAAACAAGGGATAAGTGTGAGAAGTTGGTCGTGTGTCCCATGCAACAGCGCCGGAGTAAGTCTGCTGACCTTTACTCCTCTTAGGGTCCTGGCTGTCTTGCAGTCTGAAGCCCTCTTCCTAAGATCCCAGGTCCATAGCCATGACTGTGCAGCTGTGCATGTCTCCTTCACGCAAGTGCAAGCCCCTGTTTACAAACCCTGCATCCGAGCAAGCCTTCTCCCTCTCTCCTGAGACCCAGGATTCGAGCCACGTTTCGGTCCCCTCATCCCGCGCCTCTCCTTTACTTCCCCCAGGAGCTTCAAGCAGTTCGCGACCTAGGGTTTCAATCGCAGTTGGGTCTTTGTTCCTTGCATATGATTCTTCCCTATCCCTCAGGAACGCGGTACAACCTGTATCGCTCTCCAGCCCACAGCTCCGCCGGCGGTGCCAGTTGCATGGCCAGCGTCAGGCACTGCACACCAGCCTCCCCCAGGGCCTCAAAGATGCCAGGTCGTTCCAGCCAGCGTTGCACCAGGGCAGCAGCGATCTGGGTCACCGGCAGCCAGCTCTGTCCCTGGCGGATCCCTGCCTCCGCCTTCCCCTCTCTGTCCGTGCCGCCTTCTGCTCCCCCCTCCGTGGTACCGTTCGGCTCATCCATCACAAGTGCCCAGGCTAACAGCTCCTTCATCAGCCGGGCTGCAGCCGCCTCCAGCTGGGCTGGGAACCGGGACCCCCGGGCGACAGCGGCAGCCGACCCGCTGAGTCGCCTCGTTAAGGCGGCGGAAGGGTTCCGTCTCTCCCGCGTGCAAGGCAGCAGGGCGCTCCAAGATGCGCTCGGGCTGCTGCCCGTCAAGACGCCAGCTGCAGCCTCCACCAGCGCGGGCGCGTGCTGCCGCAACACCTCGACAGTAATCAAGGCGCCGCTGCCGTTGATGCCGCCTGTGCCGCTACTGCCGCCAGCTGTGATGGTGTTGCTGTGAAGTAGTAGCAGCTCCGAAACCAGGGCAAATAAGGTTTCGGAGGTGCCATCCGTCAAGGCGTCGGGCGTTGCCAGGAGCTTTTGTGCCGCTTTCAGCAGCCCATTGATCGCTTCCGGTGAAGCGGCGAAAGCGGAGGAGAAAAGCGGCCCCAGAAGGCTGTTTTCGCTGCCGCTGGCAGTAGCACGACCGCCGCCACTAGGGCAGGCACCGCTGCCAGCACCAGTGCACGGCGCCGTTGTGGGTGTGCTGCTCCGTGTTGTTGTCGAGCCGGAGAAGCACGCCAACGCCAAGAGGAGCCGCAGGACACGCCAGGACTGATCCTCCCGCTGTGAAATTGGAAGGAGGCGCAGCAGCGGCAGCAGCGCTTCCACTGTGCCGCAGGACAGGGCTTGTTCCGCCGCTGCCTTAATAGCACCTGTCGCCATTACCGGTACCGGCAGGAGTACCTGTTCCAAGATGTCGAATGCGTACCAGGCGGCGAGTTTAATGGGCTGCAGCTGGGGGGAATTATCTATATCAAGCTTTGCATCGCTTTCGCTAGCTGCGACGCTGATGGCGCTCTCGTTGCTGGTTATGCTACTGCGGACGCCGGGCCCATGTGCTAGAGGGCAAAGGCAGCAGCCATGGCCGCCGCCTTCGGGATCGATGTTAACATCTTTTTTAGCTGTAGCAGTAGGCGCAGGTGGGGATGGAGGATGGAGTGGAGGCTGCCTTCGGCGGAGGGGAAGAGGCTCAAGCAGGAGATCCGTGAAGGTTCGGACTGCGCGGACCAGCGCCGGCACCGCGCCAGACTCCACGACGGCAGCAGCGGCCTTAGCACGGTCGGAGCTCCCGGAAAGGAGTCGGAGGACTGCCCCCAGCGCGGCAAAGACCTCGGGCCCGCGCTCAACTTCCCATCGGGCGCTTCTCGCCGGACTGGCGGCCATCAGCAGGGGCGGTAAAAAGAGGGGGTATTATGGAAATTCGAAGGTGTATACGCTATTTCGTGATTCAGTTGGTACTACATATGCTCGAGTACACCGGCAGGAGAAGGCACCGGCAGGGGAAGGCGGTCAGCGAGCCGAGCAATCGGCTCCCCGCAACTCCTTGCAGGTGCTTGGCCAACGTCCCAAAGCTCATGAAACTAATCTAACAGTTAATAAGGACAAATGTGCATTGTTAGGTAATAAACACAGAAGGAGCAAGGTAACTGTTCCGTGCGAGCAGGTAGCCCATATACTTGAATTTAGACTCATTATAGTCTCTAGAACTATGCAGGGCGCTTCCGACTAATGTAGATGGAAAAGGTAAGTTCAGGGGAAATTAAGAAACGGGGTAGAGCAGGGTCAAGCCAAGAGAGCAGGGGACGGAATACGGCGTCGACAATGCATGGACGACGATTTTGTTCTGAAGCAGTCAGGAAAGCTACTGATGATTTTGAGGCTACTTGTACTTCGGCTTCTTCATATTGTTTGGGACAAGGAGTGAAACCATTGTTCGGTGGAGACATTTCCGTGCAACCGAGTTCCGACAGAGCTCCACCGGTTTGTTGTCAGAAGCGCACTAAAAACAAGACGTTAGGAGCGTGTTGTAACCAGGTTTTTCAGCATGTCGGAGGCGGACGCGGTCAACGGAACGCTGGTGCGCAGTCCTGCTTCCAAATTGTCATCTTACCTCGAGAGTGAGAAACAAACATATCGGGTTTCGCCTTTCAGGCCGATACGGGTATTGATGAGGGTGATGCGCTTGACGCGACAAACGGCGAGATGGGACAGCTCGACGAGGAAGCGACTGCCCTCCTGAAAGAGCTCGAGGACTCCCAACTGGAGGTGCAACGTATGCTTGAAGCACAGCGTGCTCAGGCCCAAGAGCTGGGCGGCATGAAGGATCACCTGTCTGCGGAGGTGAGTCGTGGTTTGTTTCTGGAAACGGGCACAAAATCCCCATTTCCCCTCTACACATTGGATTCCGCATCCCAATGCTCACCCCGCCATCATTTCTCTCTCCTGCTTCTCCTCTCCTGCTTCTCTCTCCCCTCTACTTTTTGTACCTTCTGCTGTCCACATTACTTCCTAAACCTGTTCCTCTCCCAACCGCTTTCCCTGCCTCCTTCCCCTGCTCTTCCTCCTGCGCTTGACTTCCAGCCAGCTTTCCGGCCATCCCGTACAGTCCCCATCTATCGTCCTCCTCCTCCACCTTATCCTCCCTGCTGCGCTTCCCTTTACCTTTTCCTACTAATTATCTTTCCTCCTCACGCGCAGCTCCTTCAGCTCAAGGACGACGCCTGGAAGCTGCACCTCTTTGCGGAACTGGAGATGCTCAAACGGCAACTGGCCGCCATCAATAACCTTGATGCCGATCTGGACGCTATGGAGGCCAAGTTGGATGCGGAGGAGGGTGACCCAGATGAGGCTGCGTTCCAGGAGGCCTTGGCAGGTAAGAAGAGCCCGCCAAACGGCACAACAGGGAGCTGATACGCTGCCTCTCCCCTCCGCTTTACCTCCTCTCCATTTCTTGAACGCGCAGCAATCTTTCCGCCGACCCACATTGTTCTATCTCAATCCACATTAAGACCTCCAGTCGGACCTTACAGCCACGACTCAGAGTACAAAATAACTCAGGACATGAAAGTCAGGTTTTAAGGGGAACGGCTGGGTTTTACACTCTATTATTCGGGTGACGGCGGAGGGCGAGTGAAAGGGACGTTAATTCACGAATGCAACGAGCACCGTGTTTACCGTTGCTTACACCTCGACCAACTACCTTATGTCAAAGCGGCCACAGGTGCTCCTGTTTTGCTTCTGGTTTTCGCTTTACCAAGCTGTGTTGTTGTACACTGCATCGCAAAAACCCGCAAACCATACTACAGCAAAAATCCTTTGCCGCCGTCCCCGCACAGAGGCTCGCGCAGGCACGCAAGGCCTCTTGGCACGTCTGGGCGGTTCCACCAGCCGCCCGGCCAGGCCACTGCTGCCGACTGCAGATGGCGAGGACGCGGCTTCCACGTCCATGACGGGTGGCAGCGGTGGTGGCGCGGAGTCCAAAGCAGCTGCCGCGCCAGTTGGTGGTGCTGCCGATGCTGTTGCGGCTGCTGAGAAGGAGGACGAGGAGGTGGCGGGTGAGGCGGTGGAGGATGTGGAAGCGCTTCAGGAGGAGTTGGATGCGGAGCTAGACTCCATGATGAAGCAGCTGCAGGTAGGGGACGGCAGGACGAAGTGGAAGGCGGTTTGGGGGCCCAGTTTGTTTGTAGGGAGATGAGAGGTTCAGGCTCGAGGTGGGTTTAGCTGCTTTCATTTTAAACGGCTGTGCAAGATCGTACCTTAACACGCACCGCTTCATCATAACAAGCGCATGATTGGATACCCTCCATGACTTACGTTCTCGCTGGCCATCCTCGCCACTTTTCAAAGTCTTTGTTCGTGACCTTATCCCTATAGCTACTTCCAGTCCTTTCTAGCATCGCGTGCGTAACTTCCGGCCCCCGATTTGTCACCCTGCGCCGTTTCTTGATCAGGCCATCAAGGCCGAGTCCGCCATGGTTGCCGCACGCAAGGCCCAGCTGGAGATGGAGCTCATGCAGCTCATGCGGGACGAGGCGGACGACCTGACGTCGCAGCTGCGAGATTTGGGTGTCGGAAGCGGGGAGGGGGAGGGGCAGGCGGGGGCCAATGGCGGCGGCGAGACAGCGGCGGCTGAGGCAGCCGGAGGCGACGCCGCAGCACCGCCCTGATACTCGCATCCTGTAGTCATTGAGTCAATGTTTGTACTGGTAGGTAGGTAAGGAGCAGCACGCTATTTTGCCTGGTTTGGCTAAGTCGGCATCGCGCGCATGTGCGTTTGTCTGTGTATACCTGCATGTGGAAGTACTGGTTATGTATGTCGTCTTTTCTTTAAGAAGGCGGCTGTTCATGGGGCAGTTTTTGGTTGTGCGTCGGGCTCTGACGAGAACTTGAAAAGGGCGAGCAGGTCAAGGAGGACGAAGGCACTACAGGACTACAGAACATTTGGGCATATGTATTGGGTCGCAGTTTTGGGTGTACTTTGCATGTACTTTGCACGTTCTTCGAAAGTTTAAGTTCGAAGGATTTATTGAGGTCTAGGTCCTGCTTTTTCTTGAGAGGGCGCTGACCAGCACGTCGTTCTACGCTGAGGTTGGTCTGTGGTGATGTTAGGGTATTATTAGGTTTTACGCGGTGGGTCTGTGGTAAAATTTCAGTCTGTGCTGGTATGATGCGATTGATGTTATCGATGAGTATACCGGAAATTGCCTTAGGGCATTTCGTCACATGCTGCGGTCTGCGTGTTTCTGCAGGCATGCATGGCGGGAGGGACGGAGGGAAGGGAAGGGAACAATGCGTGTGAAGTTGTCATGATGATAGGCAGCAGCAGCAGGGGGCCCCGCGTTATTCTCGGGTGATCCAGCTCTGAGTATTTTAGTATTGGATTGGGATTGGGCTGGGCTGTAGTTCGCCTTTTATAGGAACACTGCACATGTCAGGAAGGCAACGGCATGGAAATGAGGTGGAGAGGTATGTACGCACGCACGCATGCATTGCAGGAAAGGCATACATGGTGTTTTAAGTTGGTGCAGATTGGATCTGGGGTTTTGCTCTAACCAGGGTGCCGCGGCGGCAGGTGAGGCCTACATGCGACTTCTCTATTAGATGGCGTGCTGGCAATCGCAGCGGCGGTGAGCAATCAATATGCTAATGCTCAAGAAGGGCGAAAATATGACACGCACTCAAGGGGACTGTTTTTTTCTGGGGGCTCTCCCGAAGCAGCCCAGCCTTTTTTGTGCCCATTCCTTGCCGGGCATGACGGGATGAGATTTCAGAGGCGGCTTGGCTAGGGCTTTTGCTTCTGCGCTTGGCTTTGATAGTGGACCAATGCGGGCGGCGGGCAGGGAGGGGATGGCACTAGCCGCTAAGAAAATTAGCTTAACTCTTGCAGAACACCTTTTTCCAATTTGGCGCATTCAACCCGGCCTCAGCACCACCTGGGAGGAGCCCTCGCTGTAATTTTTTAAACCCGAGCTGCTGCGCAGCTGGCAGCAGCAGTAAGAGTGGATATTTGCTGTACATTAAAAAATGTCTGTTCGTCTGCCTACCTGTTTGATGACATGCAAGCAATCGCCAGATTGCACGCAGTCCAACGGCGGCGAAGGGTGTATGCCACTGAGCCACATAGGAGAGGACACAGGAATCGTTCAAGGGCTTTTTCCACGAGGGAAGGGGGGTCCCATGACCCCCGTCGTATCGCAATCTACGGAACCCAGGTGTTCGCCGACTCAGGATATTTTAATACACATGCCTGCTGAAGTCCCGAGCTAGTGACGCTAGGATGGCTTGCGATAAGACCCCAGCGTGCGCTGTAAGCACTTGTAGCTGTCCTAGCTTCGCTGTAAGAGTTGCTTTCTGCATGTAAAACGAATGGCTCTTTATCTCACATGAGGTCAGGTTGCATTAATAGGTCACTACATCAAGACCAGACAGGCGCACGTCTTTTGTTTTTCTTAATGTTTCATCCGGGGAATAAAGGTTTCGCTCCATTCCAAACGCCCTTGCTCTGCCCATCCGCCCATACTCTCCCTTCTCAGGGGGGGTTTCCCGTACATTGCGGCACGTTTGCAGATTGCGGTGCAGCATTCGGCCCAAGCGGCCGCCGCCATCACTCGCCCATAACCCACAGCAGCTGCGCCGGCGCAGCACGCACCGTTCTCACCTCATCAGGCACACATTCCAAATCGGCCAGATGAATCCACAGCGTCCCACAGCGGCGGCCTTATGTACATCTTACCTATCTTGCAATGTTTTTTCCCACATCGGGATCGTTCATCAGTCGGTTCGAAATAATGTCCCTGCCGGAGATACTCATCGCGGCGGCCGGCAGGCGGCAGCTAAGGTAGTGCACGAAAACAGCACAAAATTCCAGGTCCACTGGTTGCTACAAGTTGGTAGCTAGGCCCGCGAAGGCGGGAATTTCACTGCGGATTTGTACCAAAAATCCGCAAAAATTGGTTTGCTAAATAAAAGACTCCTCCAGAGTTTCATCCAAGCGCAATGCGGTGAAGTGGGTAATTCAACGAAGGCTGCTATTCCTGCTGCGTGCCGATGGTGCTCGAAGCCTCCATTGCTTGGGGTAGGGTGTACCTGCTTGTGTAGTCTTCAAAAGGACCCTCGATGCAGCAAACCTGAAATGCCACCCGAGCCTTCACATCCACAATACCCACGTCTGACAGCGCCTGCTCCACTGGGGCTTAAAGAAAAACAACACGAATTTGCAAAGTATACGACGGTAATGCAAGCCTTCGGGAAGATGAAAAAGCTTGGCGTGGTATACCAGCCAGGAAGTTATTATGACCCATCGCGAGCTACTTCACTGCACCACATACGCGCACACACGCAGCGATGGAACATTACTATAGCCGCTTGCATGCCACTACCCAAGCCACTAACCCACATATTTGCATGCACAAAGAAAAACACGTATCTACCTCCCGGCGGCCCCCCCCCACACACAATCATCATCCAAAGCCCAACGAGTTTACCCTCGAACTCGCCCATGCGTCCCTGGCCGTCCAGCCGCCGACCCCGATTAGCCAATCGGGCTCCCCCCTCGCACCACCCTCATAAGGTTCTTGTCCCCCCCCCTCGCCATTCCCATCTCTCCATGCTGGTCCGATACATCTCAAAACACGTCACGATAGCATATCTACGTTACTGCCACGAAAGCGTTCTTGTGCTGGTCTAAAAGCGGTTCTGGTTTCCGGCTGCGTAGCCAGTCATCAGTTAATCACAGGCGGCAAGGCTTCCGCCGTTGCTGCTGTTGCTGCTACTGGTTCTGAAACTGATGATACTGATACTGATACTGATAATGCTGCTACTGCTACTGCAGCTACTGCTATTGTAACTGTTACTACTGCTGTTGCTGCCATTGCCACTGCTGTTGCTGCCATTGCCATTGCCACTGCTGCTGCTGCTGTTGTTGCTGTTGCTGCTGCTGTTGCTGCTGCTGTTCATGATGATGATGATGATACTTATGATGATAATATCTTGGGTACTATTAGGCGCTATCGCAATCTCGCTGCCCTATCCTGACGTGGCTTTACCCTTGGTTGTGGTGGTTGTGGTGCTGGAGGTGGAGGTAGTGGAGGTAGTGGTGATGGTGGTGATGGTGGCGATGGCTGAGGATGAAGGAACTAAATTCTCGTTGCCGTGGGTTACTGACGGTACGTCACCACTACCACCATTACCATCACTACCATCCAGCAGTGCTTACGGGGGGGGTTGGGGCTCCTCCAGCCAGAATGTTTCCATGGGTCTGTCCGTGGCGGGCGATGGGCGACGGGGCAAACAAGAGTGCGGAGCAATACATATTGGCTGGGGATGTGAGGATACGTCGCGATACACATACACGCTTACGAACAAACATACGAGAACGAGAATACGGGTTTGGCACTACTGGTAGCGCGCGACTATTGCCTCCGGGAGATCCCGGGATCGATACCCATTAGGGTCAAAATCCTTCCGATGGTGGAATACGTCCGCAATACGCTACTAGTTGATGGACGGTGGTGACCTGGGATAAAGTTAACCTGCGAGCCGACTAGGAATGGAGTTGGGCTGCTGTCGACCCGGCAGATTCCGTTGGATGCTGGTGATCGGTGCGGAACCTGAGCGATCCACTGAGAAGTTGACTAGGGTGACTGGATGAGGGTGCCCCGAAATACCGGGGAAGGCAGGGTTTCGCAGGGTAGCTGCCACTTGCGAAGATATACCCCCCTGTTTCACACATCATACGAGAACATATCCACATACACACTCCCAGAGACCCTTTTCTTTTTCATTGCCCTGTGTGGCCTCTTAAATCTAGTAGTGCTCTTGGGCTGTACGATATCAGCAAACACATACAGACATGTAGACAGACATGCATGCATGACATTGGAGGTCTTAACCACGGATACGATACACCCCCATCCCATGCAGGATCAATCCTCACCCCTTGCCCTTGATCTGCCGTACGCCACGGCTAATCTGCGTCAGCTCCGGCCATTGCTCCGAAACCAGGGCCGCGAACGCCGTACTGCAATGCACCCGATCCGCCTCACTGTTCGCCTCCATGCGCGCCGCCGTGTTAACTGCATCCCCAAACAAACAGTATCGCCGGTTCAGGGTGCCCACAACAGATCCCACCACAGGGCCGCAATGAAGCCCCACGCGGATGCGCAAGGTGCCCAGCTCAGGACGGGCAGGATGCACAGGGAGGGACTTGGCAGCGCGTACGGCAGCGAAGGCGAACTGCGAGACGAGGCGGGAGTGTGAATCGGGTTGCGGCCAACGCAAATTGCCGACGGCCAGGTAGGCGTCGCCCACCGTCTCCACCTGGGGTAAGGTGTTGGTGGTGGTGTTGGTTTCGGAGAGGGGGCGGCGGGTAAATGGTTCGACGTGTGGAGCTCCAGGGCGTGGGGTAAATATGGAGAGGTGAGTAGTAAGGAGGAAAGGCAGGAGAGAGAGATGGCAATAAACTGGGGAACAGGACTGGACGGGATGGGTATGGCGTGGGGTACGGAAGGGAAAGAGGGAAATGTGCTTATAAAAGATGTTGGAAGGGGAAGGGACGGGAGGGGAAAAGGTTTGTAGAAGGCGTTATAGCACATGCTGGTTTGTCCTGGTCTGGGATTACTACGGCTTGGGTGCGTATCTCATCGCATACACGTAACGAGGCGCTTTCTTTTACTTCTCGTTCGGAGGCTTGATAAGAAGTTGATCAGCAAGGACAGTCACAATAGCTGGGCCATGTCTTGACTGGCTTGGTTAAAGCGTACGGCATGGCGCAAATCAAAATCACAGGTGGCGTTACAGTGCCGTACCTTGAAGAGCCGGAGCTGTCGAATCAGGTCATCGAATTTCGAGTATAGTCTGTGCATCAGGTCCATCACTTCGTACGGCTGCAGCTGTTCGCATAGCGTCGTGTAGCCCACGACGTCTGTATGTCCGTACGTGTACGATACGTGTGGTACGAAGAACAGAGGGTAGGGGCAGGCGCCGGGGGGTTGACGGGATGGCCGGGAGGGGCTTAGGACGGAGGCGTGCGAGGTGCAGCAGCAGGAGGGAGGATGAATGTCCTTCCTAGGGTAAGCGACTGTAAAAAATTGCGTTGGATTGTATTTTCATGTATTTGCATGCAAAACCACCGTACTTAACTGCCGTACGCTCATTCATTCCTAGCTATGCCTGTTATATTGCACCTCTACTGGTGACCAAAGCAGGCCAGTATCACATCATCAGGTGTTCATGTAAGGCGTTTTTCATTCCCTGTTTTTCAAAATCACAAAGGTAGCTCGTACTACCTTTGTGAGGCCGAGCACCGGCGGACGGATATGCACGGCGTACACCAAAACACACACCTTCGTTCGTACACACATGCATGCATGCATACATACGTACGTACATGCATAGATATCCAACCCTGCCCAGGCTGCAGCCAAATCAGAGCTCACCCGAGAAGAAAATTGAGACGCACTCGAAGCGCTCGGGCTGCACGGCCTCGCCAGCTCGCAATGCATGGGCGACCTGTGCGCCGCGTCAATGTGCGTATGTATGTATGTAACTGTATGCGGACATAAGCAGATACCATTCCAGGATGAAACATGAATATTGAAGTTCCACTTATTCATTAATGAAGTCAAGATCAATCCGTAGGAGCCGCCGGCGAAGCTAAGCTAAGCTAGGGGCATCTCACTCGTACAGCTGTGCATTACAACCCCCCTGCCCCACAACCAATCCGTCGTATAGCCACCCTCGCGTGCCATGTCAAGAAGACGCACCTTTGGCGGAAAAAGATCGAAAAGGAGGTCGTCTGGCGCAATCAGGTGCCTGCCATGGCGCGAGTGTACGGCGAAATAATGACGAAGTACGGCAAAGTACAATCGGCACTTGCATGGGTCTATCGTACAGGTAGGACAACGAGAATAATATAAATGCATGCATGTTGGTAATCAACCAGCGGATGGCATGTGAGTGAGTGAGTGAGTGAGTACTCCAGTCACAGATTTGGTACAGTACGGCAATGTCAAATTTTGTGGAGTGTGGGAGCTACTGTACTATTACTTGCCATGATACCTCGGAGCGTGTCGTACACACCCGGAAATTAGGAAATGGCCGACCCGACCCCAAATGCGATCTAAATAGCTCATTATCAAAAGACCCAAGCACGGGAAGCTTCCTGCCGTACAGAACCGTCGCGCTGATGATGTGATGAGCCTAACAAAGCCGTGATGTGGAAATGAGGACGTCACTCGGCTTTGTATGTCCGTGATGTGTCATGGCAAGTACGGCAATAGAAGCCCTCACCGCTGCAGGGCCGACACGTCCACCGGCGGACCCGAGGGGCCCAGTCGGAGACTGTACGATCGCCGACTCGCCGCCGTGGGGGCTGTCCTGCGTCCCGCCGCCAGACCGGCCGCCGCCGCCGCCGCCGCTGCGGCCGCCGTCGCCGTCATTCGAGCTTGACCGCCCTCCTCTGGCCCTGCCGTACCTGCCGTACCAGTCACGGCATGGTCACTGCTGACACGCCCGCCTAAATTGCCAATACCGTGTTTCGCCTCCAGGGACATTGCCGTACCGCTTCCAAGACTGGCACAGGCACGAGCGATGCCAGCCAAGCCGAGACCTCCGGAGAGCGCTAATCGTACACGGGACTCCAGTACGGCGACTACGGCACTGAACGACGGTCGCTCCGATGGTACGGGATGCATACAGGCGCGCACCAGCTCCCCAATCTCAGGGCACACGAGATCCAGGGCTTGTTGCATCAAGGCATCAAATTGTTGCTGCTGCTGTTGCCGCTGCTGCTGCACCGTTTGAAGCAATCTTGCAGTCTGCGGCTGCTGCTGGTTCTGATTCTGATTCTGGTACTGACGCCGACACTGCTGCAGCTGCTTCTCCTCCATGGATAATGAGCGCCGTAGAACTGGAGGTCTCCGTACAAAATCTACGACAGCCGCGCTCAGATCGCCGGCCCACGTGCTCTGCTTGCGGTACTTGCTGTCCTGCAAACCGGTGCTACCCCTATCCGCGGCAGCACCCCCGAATGTGGCCGTATCCTTCGCTGCGTTTGCGCCTGCGTCCGTACCCATGCCTGTGTCCGTACCCATGCCTGTGGTACTCCCCACGGTTCCGAATGTCAAGTTCTCGGCGGCGGCGGCGGCGGCGGCGGCGGTGGCGGCGGCGGACCGTTCGGGGGTATCGGGCGGAGCGCTGGCTTCGGATGGTGCATGCGAGGCGTACGCTGCGCCCTCGCTGAGTCGCGCTGTTCCCGACACACCTAAGAATAACGTCCCCAAAAGACGGCCGTACTCAAGCACGTCTTGGGGTCTACTGCGAATGCCCACGTTTCCTCCCGATGCCGTGGTGGCGGCAGCGGTGCCGCTTCGCGCCCATGCGTCAATCTGACCCCGAGATGCCCCCGACGGCTCCATGTCATACCCGAAAATTGGCTGTTGAGGGGTTGAGAGAGGTTCGTTCGACGCTGCGTCCACGAGGACGACCTGGTGGGCGGATTGCGGCGACGTCGGTGTACGGCAGTGGCTGCTGGTGGCGGCCCCGCCGCCGCTGCAGTTCGGGTGCAGTAATTTGAGGGTAGGGAGGCCGGCGAGGCCGCTGCTGGAGTGGTGAGGCGGCGTTTTGGCTGTGAACGTGGCCGCTGCCACGGCGGCGGTGGTGGTAGCGGTGGCGGTGGTGGTAGCGGTGGCGGTGGTGGTGACCGCAGCGGTGGCGGTGGCAGCCGCCGACGCCACGGCGTATGTTGGATCGAGATTCACGAGCCGGAGAAATATGTGCGGGTTGAAGTGTTTGTCGATGATAATTCTGGAAGCTTCCAGAGGGCCCGCGATTATTGGCGGCTCCTGCGCCATTGCGTAAGACAAACACAGCAGCAAGCGGGACCTGTTGAGCAGTGCACGTACGAGCAGCCGTACCCCGTATCCCTCCAAAAGGACGTCTCGGGCAGTCTGTACATGCCTAGATGCCACGATTTGGGCGGTGCGTTAATGCATAAGATCCGCTTCGTTCGTTTATTCCTCTTCACACTTAAGCAGGAGACGAAGTTGTTCCGTACGGGGCCCTTTTCCCGGGACAACAAACCGGTCAGGTTACCATTAACAACTGCCCCCGACTAGGTCATGAGCATGTTGGCACCCCTAAGCGACCTGAGCGTGAAGGTACGCCAGCCCCTCCGCCACTCCCTGCGCGATGCCAATCTTCGTCATCAGCGGTAGAGGCACCGTCTCGTTTTCTATCAGCTGCGACAGGTCCCCCAGCTCGTACCACTGCAGTACAGATTGGGACATGTACGACCATGCAATTGAAAGTATATACCTGTACAGCGACCGTTGAGCATTTTTCAGCAAAATTGATGCCAGCGCGGCATACACAGTGGCGTCCGTACAAATTGTAGGCAGGTATATTATTTCCCACCATCATCATCATCATCATCATCCCTATAAAGAGCAGGTGGTACGATATTTTCCACGTTATCTGCATCAGCGACCGGCGGGCATGGTAGCATACTGGCTACGGCCTTGCTATGTGAAACTGTAGGACAGTTGGTTTGTCCGGTGACGTACCTGCCGTACCACGACAGGCACCGTGCCGCCGCCCTCGAGAAGCCCAGGCCATTCCCATGCAATCCCCAATACGGGACAAATGGTGGGGTGTTGCAGCCGCATCGCCCGCCACACCAGCGCTATATACATATGCAGCGAAGCGGTGATAACAGCAGCGGAAAAGCAGCGAAAATGGCAAGAGTTAGTACTACTGACATCTTCAGTCAAGCGTATCAGAGCAGCAACAGCAACAGCCCTATTACAACCGCGTCTTTTATGTCACCTCCTGTCAAGACACGGGACATTGGAACTCGATTTCACTTTCGCGCAACGCCATTATAATTTTGTACAAATAATAAAATAAAATTGTAGTAATCATGATAACAATAATTATTAATAAATTTATAAGAAATGTATTAATTACATTTATTATAAGTTTGTGCTCACCTGCTATCTGCTTGCGGCTTCGCTTATAGGCGAATCCCATAGAGTTCTGTCCACATGCACCGGCTGCTACTGCTACTGCTATTGCTGCTGACCCCGCTTTCGGGGCATTACTGCGAAATTTGCTCCATTTCAGCGAGTCCGACTGTAATTGCTGCTGCTGCTGCTGCTGCTGCTGCTCCTCCGGCAATCGTGCCCCAGTCGACAGCGGAAGTGGTGAGTACGACAGTGGTGGCGGACGGGCTGAAGACGGCAGCGGTGACGGCGAGGACGAGGTCGAGGAGGCCACCAATAGCTCCGTGGCTACCACGAGCTTGACGCGCGTGCCTCGGTAGACTCCTTCGCCGGCCTCGAACGAGCCGTCCACATTCCTGGCAGGGGCCATATCGACCTGCTCGGCACATACAGCATAATCATTGTTAATTTAACAATACAATACATATATTAAGACGTATATTAAGACGTATATTAAGACGTTCTTGCAAAATGCTGTGCAAGTTGCGGGTGCATTCGAGAAACAGCTGTAACGGAAAGATACGTATATGGCAATGCATGCGACTGCCGTGAAATTTCACAGAACCCTTCAAGGGTCGTCAAATTTTCATGCTTTGATCATCGTCACGTAATACAACTTTACGCGGTTACCGCAAGATGACTTCACAAGCAGGTCGACGGCAATCAAACTTTCAAATCCGTCCGAGCGCAGAGCGCCGGTCATGTGGCCCTGAAACGCAGCAAACCCTACTAGAAAGCCTGCAATACTCTGTTAATTTCGCACCGACCGCGACGTCTGCAGGGTTGATCTCGACCTCCAGCTCCAGCCGCAGGCGCGGCCGTAGCCAGCGCCACCAAACCGTTAGCAGTAGCCCCAGGCAGAGGCAGCCGCAGCAACAGACCAGGGTTATGGTCACTGCACCCGCTGTGCTAGAAACCCAAGCCGGACTGTGATTTTTTTGTTGCGATGATGGCGACGGTATCGGCATTACTAACCGCTGCTCAGCCACGTCCAACGGAACCACAACTGCCAGACGGTTGTTGAGGACCTGCAGCAGGCAGGTGGTTAAGGCGGGTGGAAAACTGACCCCGTAACGCTTTAGGGAAACGAGAAATCCCCGCTCCCAGTGGACGGTCCTTAACGGCCCTAGATTGCCTTGTTAGTTGTACGACAAACGCCCGAACTTCTGCGTCGTACACGACATCCGTACTCGCACCCTACACGAACCGTACCTGTGTAACAACCGCGGGGTGGTAAACGTTTTGACGGTAATGATTGAAACCTATGGGCCCGAAAAAGGTCTCCATGCGAAGTGCGCTGAGCGTGTTTCGCAGCATATGTGACCCGCTGACGTTGGCATAGTAGACGCCGCCATCAGCCCGGCAGGTTAAGGCTCCGATTTCCCACATAAAGCCGTCGGCTGTAGCATTACTTAAACCACCAAGATCGCATGACTCAATAGTGCGCTGCAACGCCGTCAATAAGACGTAGCCGCTGGCGGCGGCGGCGGCGCTGAAGTACGACGCCTC